ACATTTTGCGTGTCACACATGTCACATGTCACACGTGTGACATGTGTCACACTTGTCCCATGGCACACATATGTGACATGCATTGGAAGGATCTGAAGCAGGCAGTGGTAATGTAGGATTGTGAACAACATCACGGGGTGGTTCGCATAGGAAAGTCTGAGCCATATCGGGAAAATGTAACAGTGAAAAAAAGACAACTGGGAGGTGCACATCGGGATGTTTTTAACCAAGCAGGGAAAATATACTAGTGAGAAAAATACCACGGGGTGGTCCGTATTGGGTGTGTCTGACCCAGGCTGGTAAAATGTATGAGTGAGAAAACCACACAGGTTGTTGTGCTTTGGGTGTTTCTGAACAAGGCAGGGAAAATGTACCAGTGAGAATAACACCACAGGATTGTGCACATCGGAGGGTCTGATGTAGGCAGGTAAAATATTGGAGTGAGAAAAACAACATCAGTGGTGCGAGTGTGAAAAGCACCACGGTGTGGTGCTTATCGGGAGGATCTGAACCAGGCCGGAAAAATGTAGAGTGAAAAAAACCCTACATTTTTGTGTGCATCAGTAGGCTCTGAAGCAGGCAGGGAATATGTAGGAGTGAGAAAAACACCACCGTGTTGTGCACTTTGGGAGGGTCTGATCCATGCCATAAAATGTAGGAGAAAAACATCACGGGGAGATGCACATGGGGAGAGACTGAACTAGTCCCGTAAAATGTAGGAGTGAGAAAAACAACAGGGGTTGGTTCGCATTGGAAGGATCTGAACCAGGGCGGTAAAATGTAGGACTGAGAAAAACACCACGGGGTGGTGCGCATTGGAAGGTTCTGAACGAAGCCGTGAAAATGTGGACATGAGAAAAACACAACAGTGTGGTGCTGTTCGGGAAGATCTGAACCAAGGTGGAAAAATGTAGCAGTAGAAAAACACCACAATGTGGTCAGGAATGTCTAAACCAGGCCAGGAAAATGTTGGAATCAGAACACCAACAAGGGGTGGTGCACATAGGGATCTTCTAAACCAGGCATGGAAAATGTAGGAATGAGAAAAACACCATGGGGTGGTGCGCATCAGAAGGGTTTGAATCAGGCCAGAAACATGTAGGACTGAGAAAAACACCACGGGGTGGTACACATCGGGAGTGTCTGAACCAGGCAGTGGAAATGCAATAGTGAGAAAACACCATGAGTTGAAGTGCATTGCGAAGGTCTGAACCTGGCCATGGAAATGTAGAAGTGAGACAAATATCACGGGTTGGTGGAATATGTGACATGTGACAGATGTCACATGTAACACGTGTAATGTGACAGGTGACAGGTGTGACACATGTCACACGTCTGATATTTGACATGTGACATGTACTATACATGTCACACATGTGACATGTCACATGTTTGACACATCACACGTCACACATATGACATTTGATACGTCACACATCACACATGTGACATTTGATATGCGACATGAATGGCCTACTAATAATCTCTAGGATTAGAGATCTTCACACAAAAAAGGGGGAAATGAAGTGTTAAAACATTCAGGAAAGCCCTTGTCACTGGGTCAGAACAACCAGATGTTCTGACCTGATAGGGAAGTTGTGATCCGACATCCACAAAAATAAGAGCAACATGAACTATCCATCCTGCCAGACAGAATATGAGTTTTCAAAAACATCAAGCCACCTGCAGCAGATAGCTCACCCACCAGTAAAAAACGACACAACCTCTATTAACCAATGCCATCTGCTTCTGTAACTGATGCTTGTTTGCTGCTTTAGGCTTTATATACTCTGCACTTCCCTATTCGGCACTCTCTCGCACCCCTCTCCTACTGGAGAGTGGTCGGAGGGTCCCTCGCATGCGTGGACAATAATCAGGTCTATTTTAAAACCATTACTATGTGCAAGCCAGGAGAGGTAAGAGGATAAATGGAGCCTCTTCTTGAGTTTCCCATGCCTGGATTGTGTCAGGTAAAAGTCAAGCAATAAATGGTTGAAGGAGGACTGTGAAAGAAGTTGGTTTATAGCAGTGTTTCAAGAGAACTATTCAACTTGAGGATTTTAACATTATAAGAGTCTTCCCATGTGTGGTTTGAAAAAGGGCACTGTCACATCTGGATGGAAGTGTTGAGGCGTGGTAGGGTAGGGAGAGTTCTCACATGCTAATGGAAAGCCACAACAAATCCTTTCTCTCAGATCCAATTGCTCACCTCCAAAACCCCTCCTGCAAGCACTACGCATCATCACAGAGTATATGCAGCCCCAGCCTAACAGATGGAAATGAATCACCAAACATGGAACTGGATAGAGGATAGAGCAAATGACAACGTTGTGGAATAAACTACCATATTGTGTATTCTCTTGTCCACTGCCCTAACTAATCCTCATTCTGGAGGTCAGCTGGAATTCCTAGAACCTGTATCCCTAAAGGAGGAAGGATTTCTCCTGGATTGTGGCTTGGAGCAAGAAAAACTTAAGTTGCTGGACTGGGTTACTACTTCTGAGTATACAGAGGCCCAGCCCTGTGACCTCCATGGAGCTCTGTCCTGCCCCACTCAAGGGGCTGCTGAAGACAGGAATACCTAAGTCTGAGGCCCAAATCCTGCCTCGATATGGGGAGTAGCTCTGCGGGACACTGCTGTCACCTCTGCTGGAGGCAGGAAGTTGGGCCTGGCCAGTGTAGCAAAAGGCTCACTACAAAAGCCCATCTGGGCCAGAACCTAATTGTATTTGTTTTGTTTTGTTTTTTTGTGTGTGGTTTTTTTTTTTTTTTTTTGGTCTTTTTCCTTTTTATCGGTACTGGGGATTGAACTCACAACTGCCTGCTTGCAAGGCTTATGCCACTGAGCTAAATCCCCAGCCCGAGAACCTAATTGTTTCTTAAACAATAATGTCACAAATGATGGGGCAGGACACAATGTACATGGTTACGAAGGCACTGGCAATATAAGTGGCCACCACAAACATTCCAGCAAGTGTTTTTCTGGCACACCGCTGGCCTAGGTCTTCATGACCAAGCCTTATCCTATGATGTTTATATTGCCCTTCTGGGCTCCAGGGCTCATGATTTGGCCACAGTTGTGGCTAGTGGTCATGGGAGCCCCACATCCAGAGTGGGCTCAACTGCCAGTCCAGTGGGACGTTGAGCCGTTGGAGCCTAATTTTTTTTTTCCCTACAAGTCCAGTCCTTCACCTAAACCACTCCATACTCTTACAGTTCCAGCAGATCCAGAGGAATTGGATTACCCAGGATCCTCTGCACCGATGAAGAATTTGCTTACACCTGAAGAGTCGACTGGAGAGTCACTGCCAGATCCAGATAAGTTTGCTGTTCCGCATCAGGGTCTGCATGACAAGTTGGTTGGGCCACAGAGTATCCCAGAGGTGCATCCAATGCTAGATGGGCATGAGAATGAAGGCCTAGCTCTGCCTCCTCAACTCCAAAGAAAGATGGAGACTTCTCCTTTAGAGCAGGCTGCAGACCACCAGTCAAAAGTTCCACCTTTAGCGATTAAGAGTTCACCAACATCACACTTTGTTTCACCCCTGAAACTGAAGGGTATAGCTCGGCGTTGGCAACTTGCTAAGGAGGTTTTTGGAGCTCCTTATCTATCAGAGTATCCTGAGCATCAGAAACAAACCTTGAAGGACGATACTGTGGATCAAAGTATGGATAGAGCTGATCATGACAGCCTACACTCGGGATATCTGGAGAACCCAGATGAGCCTACACAGCCCTGTGAGCACAAGGAACCATCACAATACCAGGTGGAGGCCTGGACTAAAAATCTAGAGGCTCCCCAAGTCCAGTCCTCTCTACCTCTGGGAAAAGGCCCATGTGAGCATTCACAGCCTGCTGAAGAGGTCTTACCTTCTTTAACCCAGTGGGAGGCCCTACGTCAACATAAGCTTTTTACTGAGGATGGTTTACATCAGCTGTCAGAGAATCAAGAGTTCAATGTTCCATCCACAAGTAGCAGGGAAACTCATCTCCTGCATTTGCCCAGTTTCATCTTTACACCTGTGGATGTGGAGGTAGTGGCAACTGTGGAAACCGATAAGGAGGCTCATCCTTCTCTCAGGCTGCTGCAGTCCCCAGGGCAATCTCCAGAGAATCCTGAGGAGGTGGAAACAACTCTATTCCAACAGAAGATTCTCCCTCTACCTCTAGGTCCTCCTATGGCAAAGGAGCCTTCTCCTAGTGAGCAGAAGCATTCAGTTCCATTTTCTGAGGTGATTGAACAAGTTGAGTACCTAGAGAGCCAGCCTGAGGTCACAGCTCAGCCCATAAAGTCTGTTAATGAAGGCAGACCTCCAGTCCAGGAAGATGCTCAAACTTCAGAGTCCTCTCTAAGGAGTGTGGCTAAAGCTTCGCTGTACCACAAAGTGACATTTCAGTCTCCAGATCACCATTATGACAGGCCTACATTTGGAGTTAAGCCTGCATATGCAGAACTTATTATAACTACAAAGCCTATCAAGGAGGTTGAATCTTCTGTGAGGTTCCATCAAGAGGTCCCAGCTCAGCCTCTAGGTCCTGCCGTGGTGCTTGAACCTTCTGCCAGGCAGCATAAGCAGCCAGCTCAGCCTTCTAAATATCTTGGAGAGTTTGAACAATTCCAAAGCCAGCTGGAAACCCCAGACCCACATCACGAGGTGAGATTTCAGCCTCTAGATGAGGATGCAGGTCTCCATTATAAGCTGCTCACCCTTAGAGTTGAGCCTCTGGATATGGAAGTTACTACAGTTGCAGAGCCTGTGAAGGTTGAATCTTCCCAGCAAATGGCCCCAGATTTGTCCTCCATGTTGTCTGCACTCTTTGAACCTTGGCAAGTTCAGCAAAGTGTTACAGCTCAACAGCCGAACTCTTTAATAATTGATTAGCATTCTCTGGTGAATCAAGTGATCCCAGTTCACTCTGAAGAGCTTCCTGAACATTCTCTAAGACAAAAGGAGAGCTTAGCTCTGTCCTCAAAGCCTGCTGTGAGTGCCCCACTTCAAATGATCCAGGAAGAGCTCTCAGCTGAGCCTCTAGGGCCTTGGAGCGAGAGTAGTAGTGCTCTTCCATTGGCAACTAATATGACATATTCACTTCTAGATACAGGAACAAAGCTCCCAAGTCAGCATTCAGTGTTGTCTAAAGCCACAGTGACACACGTGGATCTGGAGCTTACTACAACCGCAAAGCCCACCCTTGAGAGTGAGCCTTCTGTCACCTATCAGGAAGATCGGCTTAAAGTTCCTACTGAACTTTCTCTTGCCCAAATTGGCCCCTCTTTCCAGCATGCAGAGTTCTCTGAAAAATCTAAGTCTTCTCCGGCTCAGCAAGTAGTCAAAGCACAGACTCCGGATGCTCCAAAAGAGTTCATTTCTGCTGCATCACAGCACGAAGTCCTGCGTCTGCCACTAGACTTCTCCAAGAAGGCCAAGCCTCTGCTTCCCAAGAAATCATCTCCAGTGTGGCAGCCAAACCCCACTCAGGCTCAAGAATCTCCTCAGGAAGATATACCTGAGCTCTTAGTGCCACATGAAAGGACACTTCCAAGGGCAAGGCAGGACCCTGTTCAGCATCCAACATCACCCAGTGTCATACTACAAGCACTGACCACAGAGTTCACTGTAAGTCCTAAACCCACTACAGAGAGTAAATACTCTACGACTGTGCAGAGCACTACAACTGTTCCTCAGAAGCACCCTGAGGTGACACCTGCACAACCAGACCTAGTGGTGTCCAAATTGGTACCCACATTGGTATCCAAATCTGACTCCTGTCATGGCTCACTCTTTGCCTCTGGATCATTCCATGGCTTCTCTGGCTACTTCAGAGGATACAGTTTACCCAGTTATAGCAGAGACACCATATCAATCTCGAGAGCCATCTCTGGAGCCTATAGTTCAACATATACTGTCACTTGGGATGACAAATCCAATCCCAGGTCTGGACCAAGCTCAGCATCCAATATCGCTTGTTCACCCTTTGGATATAAGCTTTACCATAAGTTCAGAACTTTCTACAGAGGCTGAGCGTTCTGTGGCCCTGCAGAAGACTGAAGCTCCTTCACCAGAGCACCCCGAGGTGCCCCTTGCATATTCAGACCACGTGCAGACTTGGAGGAGCCCAAGCCTAATTCCTGTCATGCTTCAATCTTGGGATGAGGAAAATACCATAAATCTGTATTCTGGAAATTACTCCCCAGAAAAGGCTTTAACTGTGCAAAAAAACCAGAACACTACCAGAGCAACCAAGACATATGAGCTCTGCACCTGCAGAAACCATTCCCTGTCATGTGTTGGTCTCAGTCCAACGCAGAAGCTGCACTGAGTTCCTGTACTAGAGCCGGAAATCAACAACACCTTCACAGTCTTGTAAGAATGAATTTGCTTCATCTGTACTTTACATCCAGCCTGATATGGCAGCCTTTTCTCCAAGGCCTCTGTGGGCAGCCCTCATCTCCCCAGTTCCCACTGACTGACTTTCTGCTTTTACATTTTTCTTTCCAAAGTTTCCTTGTTCCACTCTCCTTTGTACTTGTGCTTCTTTCCCTTTGTCCTTACCCATTTTTACTTAGTCCACACACCATTGTTTAACCCGGGCTCTCCCACCTTTGCTCTAACCCTTTTATAACTCATTTTCTGTCTTTTTTTTTTCTTTTCTTTTTTTTTTCTGTCTGGCAACAGGGATTGAACTCGCAACCTTGCACTTGCCAGACAGGCGTTTATACCTCAGAGCTAAGTCCCCAGCCCCATACCTCATTTTCTTAGAGACGATATAACAAATTGAGTATGTGTAGACTCTGGTCCTGGGTGTGTAGCTCAGTGGTGGAGTGTTTGTCTAGTACGTGCAGTGAGGTCCAGGTTCAATCTCTTGCACCTCCCCCAAGAACAGATTCTGGAACCAGACTACATGGGTTTTAACCTAGATATCTCTTTCATTAGCTTTGTATAGTTATTAGCTTTGTGACTCAGCTTCCTTATCTGAAAAATGGAAATTACAGTATTTACCATTTCACAAGACTGTGAGATTTAGCACCATGGCTATAGATGAATTTTGGCTGTTACTAGCATTATTTAGTACCTGAATTATGTGCAGAAATCATCTTTGTCTGTTGGTTTCTATATGTAGCATCCCGTTATGTGCAGATCAGGAAGTACACTGGAAGACACATAAGAATAACATTTTCTCTAGAACATGAAAAATGATAGGAAGGGGAAAAACATTAAAAGGGAGGTGGTGTATATAATAAGGGGTAGAAGAGGATGCAGACCTTAGGAGCTGTGATTCTCCGGAATCTGGAACCACAAGTATGATGCTCAGGGGCACAAGTTCTGTTTGAGGCCGTGGTGAGCGCAGAGCAATGAGAATGCATCTGGTCACGTGGAAATGTTCACTAGGCGCATGAGCAGACTGATTGCTTTCCCACCATCCTCAGGAAAAATGTATGCAGACTGAACAGGAAAGTTGTTGCTGAGGGATAAAGAATGAGTTTCCGCAAAATTGGAACTAAACCCTGGTTCGAGGCAGGCTGGCCTCAAGCTCGTTGGTATCTTCATGCCTCAGCTTCCTGAGTGCTGTGATCACAGGCGTGCTCCCCTACTCCTGACCTAATAACTTGTTGTCAATGCATGATAGACCTCCTTTAAAAAAGAGTCAGAGATGTGTATGGAATAATGTGAGATCCATACCCTTATATGCTTGACCACCTGTCTCCCTCACCCTGTCACACAGGAGATAAGCCCTGGTGCCAGTTTTGTGTGGGTTCCTCCTCCTCCTTTGCAATTTTTGCCCTGACCAGGTGATAGTTTACTCCTTGCCTGGTGGTTCCTGTTTTTTCCTGTACATCAAGTCCAAGCGGTTTTTCCACATCAGCACGTTAGTTCCTCTACGCTGCTCTTGCCCTTATCCTTCCACTGCCTGCAGAGCTTCCACAAAGGGTACCGAGCCAAAGCTTTGGCGCCAGCTGGCAGAGGCTTTCTTTATTCTTATTTGTTAACAATGATGCATTTTGGCCCCTTTTTCTTTGGAATTATTTTTCATTTTCTTGTTGGTTTATAGGAGTCACCTTAGATACAGAGATTTGGGGAAAATACATTAAAAGTGACTGACAGGCATTATTTATCCAGGAGATTGGATTGATAGGAAGCTCAGCTTTGGAGGAGAAGGCTCATCTTTTGTGCAAGTGGACTTTCATACTTGTATTTTTATCGTATAAACTAGGAAGCTGTTTGCTCTGGAAATCTAAAAAACTGTTATCTTATCTGTTTCCATATCCTCCAGGTTGCCAGGATTCTTTTACTTATTCTGAAGATTCTTTTCCTAGTTACTCAAAGATACAAACTATTTCTCCACAAAAATTTCCAAGGAAATGCTATTCATGATCTTCCAGAAAAGACATGGGAGTCATATCATTGGGCCGAGAAACTGTAAGTATATTCCCTCCAAATATGTAAGATCACTTTAAGATACTTCTTGGTCCTGAATTTTCAGGCGAATACCTCTGAAAAATGGTACTTGCCCTCTTATCTCATATTTACTTCACTTTATTGAAATTCTGTGAATGTACTGAAAATTGAATTTGTGGGAATTGGAAGTGTAGCTCAGTAGTGAAACACTTGCTTAGATGTGTGAGGCCTTAGGTTCAAACCCCAGCTCTGCAACTTGTTTTTTAGTTTTATTTTTTTAAGTTTCATAGACACTGTTGGAAATTGTATTGTCTCACTAGTGTGAGAAGCTGAAAGAAAGTATAGCTAGATAGGTAGCTATAATAGTTGAGAAAGTTATCCTACTGATTTCTCTGATCTCACTGAAGAGAAATCTGTGCTACTCTTGTTTGGACAATTGAATGCAGATGTCTTGTACTCTGAGTAACATGTAATGTATTTTAAGTAACTGATTTGAAGAGAGCAATGTGAGACATATATACAACTCTTGGCCTCTCAATGATTGTTTTGAAATTTTATTTCTTCTCTTTAAAATAATACAGATTTGAAAAAATGAATTAATTTAATTGGTACACTTTATATGCATAATAGCACCAGGGGATTTGTACCTGCACGTAATATATCTTCATTCCTTTTCCCCACCCCCTCCTCTCCCTTCAACCTCTCTTCTGTTTTCCTCTCCTATTCACAAAAGCTTTAGTTCCATTTTTACTTTTCTCTGGTGATGTTGGTACTGAGGAGCAATCTCACGACCTTGTGCTTGCCAGGCAGGTGCTTGTACCACTGAGCTGCACCCTGGCCCTCCATTTTTGCTTCTATTCCTCTTTCTTTTCACTTCCTTCTTTCCCCCTCCCTCTATTTGTTGTTCCCCTTCCCATTTGAACATTTTCTTCCCACTTCACTATCATGAGTGTACATTTTGATCCTTATTTCCCCTTGCAGTTTCTCACACCTGAGAAACAGTGCAGGGTTTAAACATGTGTGTCCAATATATTTCACTTAAGGCTACAGTCACAAAATGCAACCCTGTACCTAGCAATGTCTCGAGGTTCTCCTTCTTTATGGCAGAATGGTACTCTGGAGTTATACCCACATCTTCTTTATCTGTTCATCCACCGATGAGCATTTGGGCTGTTTCCAAGATTTAGTCGTTACATATTATGATGCTATAAACAGGAGTGTGTATGTATTACTGTTGCATGGTGCTTTTATTATTCTTTTGGGAAGATATGAAGAAGAATAGCTGCGTCAAATGGAGCCTCGAGGTTTAGTTTTCTGAAATCTCCATACTGATTTCCACACGGTTATATCAGTCTACATTCCATCAACAGTGGGGAAGGGTTTCTATTTCCCCATAGCTCCACCAGCATTTGTTATTGGTTGATTTCTTGATAATAGTTTTTGTGGGATGAGATGGAGTTTCTCTATTGTATTGTATTGTATTGTATTGTATTGTATTGTATTGTATTGTATTGTATTTGTTTCTTTAGTGCTACTGGAATTGAACTCACAACCTTGGGATTGCCAGGCAGGTACTTACAATACTGAGTGAAATCCCTGGCCCTCAGTGTTGTTTTAATTTGCGTCTGTCAAATGACTGGTAATGTTGAACATTTTTTATATTTTCATCTGCTATTTCTGCTTCTTCATCTAAGATCTGTCTTCACCTCAGATACCCATTTTTCACTGGGCCTTTAAATTTGGGGCAGGGGGCCGAGGATAGCTCAGCAGCGTAAGCGCCTACCTGGCAAGCGCGCAGTCATGAGTTCCATCCCCGGTACCAAACAAAAAAAAAAAAAATTGAGGGTCTGATTTTTTTTTGAGTGCTTTATATAGTCTAGATATTACTCTTTTGTTTGAGGAACAGCTGGCAAAATTGTTTTTCCTACTCTTTGGGGCGCTCTCTCTGTGGTTTCTTTTGTTGTATAAAAGCTTTGTTTGTTTTTAAGGCAGGGACTTGCTAGGTGGTGCAGGCTGGCCTTGGATTCAGTTATGTAGTCCATGGTGGCCTTGAACTCATGAGGATCCTTCTGTCTCAGCTTTCTGAATAATAAGATTACAGGACTGCACCTCCAAACCTGGCCTGTGAAAGTTTTTTAATAAGGGGTAATCCCAGTTGTTAATTCTTTGTGATACTTCTTTGGTTTTGTACATAAAGTCTGCCTACACCTGTATCTCCAAGAGTTCAACCTATTTACCTTCCAATAGATTTAGTGATCCCATTTTAATATTTAGATCTTTGCTTTATATTGATTTTAGTTTAGTGTGTGGTGAATGATATGGGTCTGGTTTTAATCTCTGGCATGCAGAAAGCCAGTTTTTCTTTTTGGTCTTTTTCCTTTTTATCGGTACCAGAGATTGAACTCACGACTGCCTGCTAGCAAGGCAGGCGCTTATGCCGCTGAGCTAAATCCCCAGCCCTGAAAGCCAGTTTTTCCAACTTCATTTATTAAATAGGCTATCTTTTTGCCCTGAGGGTTTTTGGTCCTTTGTCAAAGAGAGGATAACAGAATGTGTCTGGAGTTGTTTCTGCATCTTCTAATCTGTTCCACGGATCCTCATGTGTGTTTTTCTCTACTAGTACCTTGCTGTTTTTATCATGGTAGTTTTGTAGTGTACCTTTTTTTGGTTTTTCTTTTTAGGCAAGGCCTCACTATGTAGTCCACGTTGACCTGAAACTTGCTATATGCTGTGCATATAGCAAGGACCCAGATTGGTACCCAACTCAAATGAACCTTTTGCCTTAGCCTCCTAAATACTGGCATTATGAGGATGCACTAGCATGCCTGGCTATAATATAATTTCACATCAGGGTCTGTGTGTCCCTCTGTATTGCCTTTGTGCCCAGAATTGCTTTTGCTATTTTAGGTCTCTTCTGCTTCCAAATTAATTTTAGGATTGTTTTCTCTAGTTGTTTGACGTATGTTACTGTGTTTTGTTTTTGTTTCTGTTTTGTTTTTTTGAGACAGAGTCTTACTAAGTAGTTCAGGCTGGCCTTGAACTCACTATGTAACCCAGTCTGGCCTCAAAATTGTGGCAGTTCTCCTCTCTCAGCCTCCCTAGTGCTGGGATTACAGGTAAGTGCCACCACGTTTGCCTGCTACTGGTGTTTTGGGATTGCATTACGTCTCTATAACAATTTTGGAAGTATGGTCATTTTAACTATAATGGTGGTTCCTTCCCACAAACAAGGGATATCTTTTCATTTTCAGATTTTCCTTTTTATCTTTTTCAGAGTACTCTAGTTTTCCATGTAAAGATCTTTTGCTTCTTTTGTGAGATTGATTCTGAAGTATTTCAGTTTTTTGATACTGTTATGAAAGGTGTGAAAGCTTTCCCTAATTCCTCTTTCAGTGAGTTTGTTGTTTGTGTACAGGAATGATACTGATTTTTGAGTGTGGACTCTGTATCCTATGTTACTGAATTTCGTCACTAAATCTAGGAGTCTTTTGGAGTTGTTGGGATCTTCCATTCTGTGTATCATATCAACCACTAATGCTTTAAAGTCTTCCTTCTTCTCTTCCCCCACATTGCCATATTCCAGTGTATGGACACCAAATCTTAGAGAGGTTGATTTGCTGCTGCTTGCCAGTCCATCTCCCCGGAAGCCTCGACTGTCATCTTTCTTTACATCAGTTGTAATATCCTGCAATTCTACATTTGATACCTCAAGGTGATTTTGTTTCCCAAACATAGAGGGTTGTCCTTTTTTTAAAAGTTCCTACACAATATTCCACAGTATGTACACATCAGTGCTTAATAATTTCCCTCTTTATATGGATGTTTAGGGTATGTCCAGTTTTCTTTGTTCCAAGTTTTATTTTTTTATTAGTACATGACTAATTCCTCATGGGGAGCTGGCATATGCACATAATGTATTTTCTTTCTTTTTCCATTTGCGTCTCTTCTTCCTTCCCTCCTACCTCCCTCCATCCTGTCTGGATCCTCTTCCCTTTTGCAAAAGATCTACCTTACTTTTCTGTTGTTAGGAGATTAAATACCAGCACCCAAAGTTAAGGAGGGAAGAGGCTTCATTACAAACAGTTTCAGACGTTTCATTCCATAATTGGCTGACTCCAAAGCAGCTGACACGTGGCAGAGGGGCAACCATTCACAGTGGGAGAAGACAGAAAGAGCAGCCAGAGGGAGGGAGAGAGGACAAGCCTCTTTCTGTCCCTTATACTGTATGCAGACTTCCTGCTTTAGGGCAGTTTTAGCACTCACACCTTTAATCCCAGCACCCTTAATCCCAGCACCGTACTATGAATTAATCACAGACTCTAGACTAGATTCAGGTACCTCAAAAATAAGTAATTAAATAACCCCTATGACTGCATTAGGCTTTAGGGGGAACATGTAGACACAAACCATAGCAAGATCTATCTCCCTCTTTCTTGTGATCTATCTTTTATTTTTCTCTCTATTTATATTTTGGGTTTCTCATAGAAATCGTGCAGTATTCAAGCTTTGGTGTCTGATTGACGTATTGTTTTTAAATGTTCTGGTCTCAGGTACACCCGCTTTCTTACAAATGACTCAAGCTTATCCTTCTTTATTGGTGTAGAGTAGTACTCCATTGTGCATAAAAATCACATATTAGTGATTTATTTATTAGTGCATGTTCATAGCACATAATGTGTGCATTCCTTTTGGGGACTTGGTATATGTACATAATTTATCTCCATTCCATTTTTTCATCCTCTCCCCCCCCTTCTTTACCAATTCTTGATCTTTTCTTGTTTGTATATGCTTGTAGTACATAATATTTATGTTCCTTGTGGGAACCTGGTACATGCACATAATACATCTTAGATCCTTTTTCCGCTTGCTTTCCTTTCCCTCTCTACCCTAACCCTAACCCTAACCCTAACCCTAACCCCCCCATCTCTTGATTCCTTCCCCTCCAAGAACAATCTGTTTCCCTATTTACTATTATTTGTCTTTTATTTTTTATTTATATTTTGCATTTCGCACATAAGAGAAACCATGTGATGCTTAAGCTTGGGTTTCTGATCTATTTTACTCAGCACTATGGTCTCAAGTTGAATCCATTTTCATACACGTAACTCCAGTTCAACCTTCTTCATGGCAGCGAAGTGCTCCCTAGTGATTAAACACCATATTCTCTTTATCCTTTCATCTATAGACAGACATACAGGCTGCTTCCAATATTCAGCTATTATGAATGTGCTGCTATAAACATCGGTTTGCATGGGTCATTGTAATTTGCTCTCTAACTCTTGAGAAGGGGAAAAGCTGGGTCAAATGGAATGTCTACTTTTATTCTTTTGATGGAATCTGCATATCAGAGTCTCCATATCAGTGATTGGACTAGTTGACATTCTCACCAACAATATAGGAATGTTTCTTTTTCCCTGCAGCCTTACCAGTATTTGCTCTTGTCCAATTTCTTGATTATAGCCATGGAATCTCCGTGTTGTTTTGATTTGCATTTCTCTAATGGCCAGAGATTGTGAACAATGTTTTCATGAATTTATTGACTGTTTTGACTTCTCTTCTGAGACGTGTCTGTTCCTATTAGTTGCCCATTTTTTTGGTTGGGTCTTTTATTGAGGGAGGTCTCTCCAGCTTTCTTGTTACCTGTATCATTCCATGAACATCCTTGCTCAGGCCTCTTTGTGAACATGGAAAAGTATTTCTGTAGAACAGATACCTAGAAAAGGGATTGTTGGTGTGAAGACTGTGTTATACATGAAACTTTAGTTGCTCTGAGAAACGCTGTGCCAACACGCTCCAGGCAGCAGGATCTGACAGTGCTCACTTTCTCACCCTTTGTCACTGCGGCATATTCTTTGTTTCTGAGGATGTTGATTCAGAAACACCTTTTCATCTTCCAACCAAAATTACATCACTGGACTACGTAAGAATTCATTTGAAGGCCTGTCGTCCCTCCGATATTTGTAAGTTAAACATTTTTGGTTGTCTCTATATATTTTTTTTATTTTAAAGAGGGTAAAATAGAATAAAACCAGTCAAAACAAACCAGTGTAAAAGACACAGAACTTCAAAACATTACAAAATCAACAATAGTTACTATAATGCCTTTGTTGTCGTCACAACAGCTGTGGATAACTTCAGACATATAGTAAAAATTAAACAGGACAGAACAGAATAGAAACAATCAAAACAAAACCGTGAAGGCAAGAAAGGACTTCAAAACAAGCCTATAGTAAATCCACAATGGCTACCCTAATATGTCCTGCTGTCTTTGAAATAGCTGCCAGTTAGTCATATTATTTGAGTTTGAAGTTATCTATAAAATGAGGAGAGAGTTCAAAGCAGACATTGTTCAAAATCCCTTCCAGTGATAAAATTGTGCGATTATGTGAGTCTGTGTAGGTTTCAGTCTGTGTCTATCACCAATGAGAAAAATCCCACTTACAGAGGAAACGTGGTAATAAGACTGTGCATTTACTCATGCTAACATGGGCCTTGTTTTATTAGTGTTTGGGTGCCATTGGCTTGTACTTATATTTACCCCCTGATCCATGGATCAAATTGATTCATACTCTGCATTTTATTCAGCTCATAAGGTAATAGTAGTTTTGATATTTTTAAGTGCTATAAAAGTAAAAGGAAAAAGAATCTATAGTTGTATGTTTTATTTATGAAGATCATAAAGGTGATCCTCTTAGAGGAAATATAAACAGGGCTGGGGTCCAGAATATCAAACTTGAATATAATGATTTAGACAAAAATATGTTTTCAGTTTGATAAATTCTAAAGTCTAGCATTTATTCAGACTTATTAGATATCTAATAGCTACTCAAGGCAACATTTTCCTTTTACTTTTTCTAGAGATGTATCCTGCAATAAAATACAATTTATTGAAAGACGCACATTTGAACCAAGCTCATGTAAGTTACAAATACAACCTCCTAATATATGCAATTTTATAAACCTTGTTGTTACTCAGTTTGAAATTGTTTTAATCTCTACCAAAGATTAGTATAAGGATTATCTCACAAGTCAGACAGACTCATTACAGAGCAGTGACCTTCAATTGGTGTGAATTTGCACCCAGGTGATATTTGGAAACTGTGGCTATTACTATTGACCTCTAATTCTGATAACCATCATATAGTGTCCAATAAGACACCACAAAAAAAGAATTGTCCAGCTCAAAAGGTCACTAGTGCTGCAGCTGTGAAATTCTGTTCTAGAGTAATGGAGATCACTTAAGACAAGTACTTATTAAGCATTCACTCTTTCATATTTAGTGCATTTCAAGTGTAAATATGAAAGTTTAAATTAGAAGCCAGCATCTGCCTGTGAGATTTTTTTAGTAGGTGGAAAAAATACTGATATTTTGTTTCACCATGTACTGTATAAATTGAAATCATCACCAAGTGATTAATCTCCAGAATTAATATCTTTCTTCTTTGGCTTATGCATTTTTATAGAAATCTTCATTGCAATTTACTAATAGAACTGGATTTTGGAACATTTCAAACATGGCATGGAATGCAGTTTTTACACCACGTGTAAGTAAAATGAATGACAAACACATGTAAAAATAATCAAAACAAAACTGTAAAAACCAAATAGATGTGTTATTGGTTAGCTGGGTCTGAGTCCTGCACGAACCCTGAGAAGTATGTCTTAAGATTCACTGACTCCTGTCAGGTGAGATGGAGTGTGTTCAGGGAGGTAGGGCCAAAGAGACTGTTCCTTATTTTCAAATGAGGAACTAGGGAACAAAGAGGCTAAGAGATAACTTTTCTTGGTGACAGGTTCTTACTATGTAGTCCAGGCTGGCCATGTACTCACTGAGAGCCCATGCTGGCCTCAAACTCATTTGTCCTGCTTCAACCTCTTGAGCGCTGGGATTATAAGCATGTGCGACCATGTGCGGGTTGACTTGTGCAACTTCCGGGCAGCCTGCTCTGTATTTCCGGGTACTGATATTTGGCATGAGCAGTACGAGGTGTTGCAGGTACTGCCCAAGTAACACTCAAATTAGCACTGCAGAGAGCTCAGAGGTGCGGTTCTGACAAGTGAATGGTTCTTGAAATTCCACTTTTGAGTTTAACTCTGATTCCTTCTCACATGCAGAGTTCTGTTACATTTTATGCAATACAGAGCTTCAAAGAACTATGTTTAATGCTCTGTTCTCCAAAGAACAAAAGGTGCTGAGTCCCAGAACCTCCTCAGTGGAAAAGCAGAAAGAATTCCTCAGAACCTGATGCCAATCAGTTCCCTCCCCAACCACCCAGTATGTTATGTTTCAGAAAGTATGGGCCTCTGAAGTTATGAGTGACCTGTAGGCAACAGGAACCTTGGAGATGTTCAAAAGATGCTGTTTATGTTAAGTTATAGTGCAAAAAAATGTATAGTGCAAAAAAATGTAATGTATATGTATGTATGGTGCAAAAAAATGTTCTAGGCCAGTGGCAGCAAACCTAAGCAGTGAGGGTTTTATTCACTTTCAGCTGAAAACTTCTGTGATGTTTTCTGTCCTGAAGGGGATTTTAGACTCAAGTTGAAAATTCCCCTCTGCTGGGAAAGACCTGTTTTGTGGGTCGGAACTCCAGGTTCATACACTTTATTTTGAGTTCCCTGGAGAGAGGTTTAGGCTGCACCTGGAGCTGGTTAACTCCACCTGAATTCTCAACTGTAGTGACCTCCCCTTGTCAATCTGCTGATTCTCAACTTGGGAGAACAAGGACGGTTTGCTTTTGAAGCAAAGTTGGGGTGTAAGGTGGGTTAGAAAAGACATAATGGAGAAGACAGCAACTTGTTCCATCTGCTTTGAAGGTTTTCCTAACAGAAAGGCAGTTGCTTTGTGGAGATGAGAAAGTGAGAGCCAACTAGTATTGGACATTAATATTCATATCATTTGATCCGGAGGGAGCTGTGCCTCTCAAAGTATTTTACAGTTACTTTGATAGATTTGCACAATTAGTACTTGTGGCACGTACCTGTAGTTCCAGCTATTTAGAAGGCGAGGCAGGAGCATCATTTGCTCTCAGGAGTTGGGAGCCAACCTGGGACATACTGAAGGGTTAGAAGTGCTGGGTCATATATAACTCGGTTTACCTTTTTGAGGCACCCATGAACTGCTTGCAAGTGGCTGTGACATTTTACATTTTCACCTGCAATAATGTGGCTTCTAATTTCTCCACCTTGGCCAGCACTTGTTATTACCTGTCTTTTAATTATGGCCATCTTAGTGAGTGTAAACACTCATTGTGGCTTTCACTTACATTGCAGACTGATGAGACATTATACATCTTTGCATGAGAATACTGGCCATGTACCTTTTTTGAATACTTTCCAATCCTCTCCCCATTTAATCCTTATGTATGTTTTTACTGAGTTGTAAAGGTTCTTTATACATTCTGGATATTCTGTGTACTAGGCCTTTATCAGATGTGTGATTTATAAACATTTTCTCCTGTTCTACTGGTGGCTGACTTTTTATCATTTTACTTTTTATCATTTTATCTTTGACACATAAATATTTTGTAGTTTGCCTTTGTTTTGTGTAAAATTGCGGGTCGATCCTTGGGCCTCTGCATTGAGCTACATCCCCAGTTCTTTCTCTATTAGGATCTCCTTAAGTTACTAAGCTGCTTAGGCTGGGATCTAATGTTCAATTTTCCTATTTCCCAGAGTTACAGCCAGGAACCACTACACCCAGCTATTTGTAAATTTTTTTGGAGATAAGCATGTATCACCAAGCCCAATTGAAGCACAAAATTTTAATTTTCATAAAATCTTGTTTATTTTCTCTGTAGTTAAAACTCTCTGTATCATAAATAAGAAATTGTGGCCTAATACAGTTACCAACATTTGCTCTTATATTTTTTTCTAAGAGTTTTATAGTTTAAGCCCTTACATTAGGTTTTTGCTATATTTTGTATCAGTTTTTATATATGGTTTAGGGATTTGGTTACGTTGTTTTTCTCTCTTTTCTTTTTTTTTTTTTTTTTATCAGTACCGGGATTGAACTCACAACCGCCTGCTTGCAAGACAGGCGCTTATGCCGCTGAGATAAATCCCCAGCCCCTGTTTTTCTCTTTTGTTTTGGATTTTTTATTTCACTTTTTTCTGTTTTACTCTTTATTATTTTCTTCTGTCTTGGGCTTAAGTTACTATTCTTTTTCCTACTATATTCAGGAGAATTTTACATTATTGACAAGAATTTTTAATATTTGCATCTGGGTGTATATCTTTCCCTCTGCACAATGCTCTAACCAGCTCCTAAGTGTTGGTGGTATATGATTTCATTTGCATTGATGTTGAAGTATTTCCTGATTTCCCTTGTGACTTCTTTTTGACTCCTTAGTTGCCTATATGTGTGTCATTTCTATATTTATGAATTTGCCAGACTTCTTCCTGTTGTAGCTATGATCTCAGCCTGTGTTTTTCTGGATCAGTTGATTGCTTACGGAGGTGGAGAGGGGCTCAGCTCTTTTTGTCTCCCAGCCCTCAGGGCTGCCTCAGGCTCATAAGAAGGGGCTGACTTCTTCTTTCTCCTCCCAGTGGCCCATATGGCTACCACTGGCTCACAAGAAGGAGCTGGCAACTCAGGATAAGTTAGATAACCTCTCTGTGCCTCAGTTTCCTCACTTGTAAAGTGGGGGTAATTTTAATATCTACCACTTAGGATTACTATTAGGCTTCAGTATAAAATATTGAACATAACTACTGTTACTAATAATTACTATTCTTAAAGTATTCTGTAGAAGTATAATAACTTATGTTTCCTGAGTAGATTTAACCTCAACATAGATTTTCCTTTCCTCATATTTCTTTTGTTGTTGTCTGCTTACTGACTGTAAAGAATTGAAAACAAATTATATTCCAGCATTTTGAAGTAAAAATTTGCGTCACGATGAATATAGCCAGGCACAGTGGTAATTGCCTGTAACCCTAGCACCTGCCAGGTTAAGGCAGAAGTATTACATGTCTGAGCCCAGCCTGGGAAAATTATTAGAGAGAATTTTTCTGAAAATAAGTGTAAGAATGGCTAGGGATACAGCTTAGTGCAAAGGCTCTGGGTTCAATACCTGTGTTTGCAGTCTCCACCACACAGGAGCCTGAGGTTGCAACAGTGCTTGATCCTAGGATTTGATGCTAGTCTAGGCAAGATTATATCTCTTAAAAGGGATGTGTGCATGGGAGCATGCATGTGTGAATGTATTTGTTTCATTGATATGAAAAGAGAATTTTATATATTCAGCGAACATTTATTAAAAACCTAGTAAATTTTAGGCACTATACCAGACATTAACATGACACAGGAAAACAGATGGGAGTAATAGAGCAAATATGGCTTTAATTACCTCCCCCTTGTTACAGTTTTTATCCAAGTGTCCCCCAAAAGCCTCCCTCAGTCCTAGGTGGAGCTTTGGGAGGTGATTGGATGATGGGGATGTTATAGCTGAGGTGGGGCTCAGAAGTGGGTCACAGGAGTGTGGTGTGGATGGGTTATCTTCCTCCTGCCTCTTCCCTTCACTCTGTGCTTCATGATTGCTGGGCTGTGAGTGTCTCTCCTCCACTCAAGCCCTTCCACCAGGCTTTCCTGCCTTGGAGCTGGTGATGCCCTGGAACATGAGCTAAAATAAAGGCTTTTTCCTTCCATGTGCGGCTGTCAGATATGGTCTCCTTCATGAAGAAAAGTTACTAAGACCCACCTCTTAGATGTTTAAAACTTTTTTCTTTGACTCTAAACCAAGGAATTGCACCCCTCCCCACATAACTGCCTTTTTTGTCATTGTTGTTGAGACAGGATTTCACTATGTAGTTTCAGCTGATCTTGAATTCACTGTGTAGCCCAGGCTGGCCTCATGTGTCAGCCTCCTGGGTGCTGGGATTACAGGTATGTACCACCATGCCTAGCACATGTTTTTTTTTTCTTAGTGAATTAGACCATGATTTTATTTAAATTTCTAAAGATGAAAGGCAAGCCACTTGAGTTATGAAGGATTTTAACTATAGAATTTCCTGTAGGGTGAAGGTTTCTTATCAGAGCAGTCAATTTTAGGGTTTTTGTTCTTTCACATATTTTTCCTTTTTTATCCATGCTATTCAATATTTTTGCCTCCCTCTTTCTCATTTCCACCTTATCTTTTAGAGACCTATTTGACCCCCAAAAAAAGAATGCTTTCTGAATTCTAAGGGTTATTACATGTGTAGTCACAGAAATGCTTTTTTAACGTGTAAGTGCTATACCAAAAAAAAAAAAAACCACCTTTTCATGTAACCTCAGGCATAGTGAAATTTTAATTCCATTGTGCCTTTCAGAATTCTCAATCATAATCCTGTCAGCCATTGAGGATTCATCTCTTTTTCAATTACCAGCATTAAAATATTTGTAAGTATTCTATTCCAATAATTGTGTAAATGTAATATGACTTCTGTTCTTCTTGCTTCCTTTCATCACTGAAAGGATGAAGTTAAGTATCGTATGTTGATTCTGAAAGTCATAATTTTAAGTTTAATTTGAATTTTAATGCAGCTATTGAAAAAAGTTATTGGAAAGAAAATAATTAAGATATATAATGGGTAAGGGAGCTAGCAGGGGTGGAGAGCACTGTTGAGGAACACAATAGAAATGGAACATATAAACGGAGGCAGACCCATCATTTACCTCAGAAAGCATAGTGGCATTGTTACTAAAAATAAAAAACACACATAGAGGTGACTACAACATAAAATTGAAAAGTAAGATGATGATTTCAAAATGGTATAGGCTCTACTATGGAATGTTAGTCATTAATTTGATAGTGCAAATATTAAAGTTGAACTTTTTCATGAAAAACTCTGGGATTATATTTTCTGATAAAATCATGTGCTGGCTTGTTAGTGGGGAAAATTGAATTAACCACACTTTCTTGAAATACCTGTGTAAGTACAGAGTATTTGTGTCAGGATTCCTCATGACTGACTCAGCTTTCTTTTTCAGAGACTTGGGACAAACACACGTCCCACTTATAGCGCTTGAGAATATAATCACAATGGCTCTAGGACTGAAAAAACTGTGAGTTAGTTTTGTTTTCCTTAAATTTGTTTTCCTTAAATCTAAGGTATTTTGGTTTATTAGGATAGCTGTGTATTCCATTAATGATTCCATTGCGTACAGGAGGAGGGCAAGTGCACAATACATCTCAATTTCTTCTCAACCTCTTTCTTTTCCGTCCTTGCCCCTTTCACCCTTTCATCTCTTGATCCCCCTTATTTTTTTGTTATGCATTTGTACATAATGCTTGCACCTTTGTACGGACTTGGTGCGTATATAGAACACATCCCAATTTCTTTGCATCATCCCTTACCCCCCCCCATTTCTTGACCGCTTTCCCCTCTGAGAACAATCTGTCTCCCTACTTCCTATTATCTATCACTTATTTTTCTCTTTCTTTTAACTCAGTTTCACATTCAAGGAAAGCAATGTGATATTTTTTTTTAATTTAAAGAAAAGGAAACAAAAGAATACATGGAGATTTTAAAAAAGGGTAGAAATGATACAAACTTACAGAAAAACAAACGGTAAGAAATTGCTGGTTGATAAGTTACACATTGTCATCTTAGAAGTAGCTGTTCATGTTATGGAATTAAAGCATTTAGAATGACATTCATAAAGTGACACTACAAACCCTTCTGCTCTCTGATCGAACAAGAGCTCAGTAACATGGTTATCAGTCCTACACATTTGTTTTACTTCTCAAAGAGGGTAAGATTAAACATATCAAAACAGAACATAGCAGTTAAAAAAACAATTTAAAGAAATACAGATTTCATAGGAAGCCCACTGGAGATCTTGATTGTCTATCTAACTGTCTCTAGTTTTTTACAAATAGTTGTCCCCTTCTTCATCCACCTTATATACTTAGTGTATATTATAGAACTAATCAAATCATTGAAGACTTTTTAGGTCCTCAAGTACCAAATTAGGGAAGACAATAGTAACTACCAACTCATCTCTCCTTCTCTTTGTGATAGCTGTCCCCATCTCTACATATGCTGAAATTGAACTCAAGAAACCAGTCCAATGTCATTCTAATCAGCAAATATTAGTATTGCTAGAATTTCTATCATAATGCTACTAAATTAGCCTCGAGTTTCCTAGTGTCTCTTCCTCAGAGTATCTGTTCATTACATCTTACATTATATAATCTGTTCCCATAAATAATTAAAAAGAAAAAAAGAACCCATGTGTGAATTTCTACATATATATCTATCCTCTCTGTGTTATAGGGAATACCAAGTCATAGCAAGCCAGCAAAACAATTTCCTAGAAAAACATGCAATGGATAAAACATTTAAGACCACAATATAGATGATCTTCCATAGTTACTATGTTTCCTCTTGTTATTTTCAATAGATTTGACCACCACACTGGCTTATTATAGTTAAATATAGTATCACCTATTTTTATAAAAACTTAACTTTGGCAGCATTGTAGGGTTTGGAAGCTGTTACTAATTAATACCAGTATGGATATTCTTTACAACTTGTCATCCTCAGAGTAGTTGCCTCTACTTTTAGGGTTGATACTGACAAGCATACCAATTTCAAATAAAATCAGCCATGGCCAACCCATAGTCTTACGATTCAGATTCAATTAAGATCAGTCATAGTAAGACAATGTAAGTACTATAGGATTTCAGTTTAAGTTAATAGGAAAGTAAGGATAGTTACCATGGTATAGCCTGCTATTTTTGGGTCAAGATGTCTGTGTCCTCAAATCTGACATGAGCGGACAGACCAGAACAAATTAAATTCAATCTAAATATGGCACTAGGGCTACTGTGTCTTTTAAATCATTATACACCATTAGCAATGACCTCTGCTTTTTTTTTTAAATATAGTTTCAGAGCTGTCTATACTAAAGACTAGCTTACTGTCCCTGCCTCATGTCTGCTACTCCACTTCTCTGCTATAATTTGTCCACCTTATTCCCTCATTCCATTGTCTGCCCCGTTCACTGAGGCCTCTCTGCCACTGTTGCTGGAATCCTGGTATCTCTTCCTCTCTTTCTCTGTAATGTCCTTCAGCGCTCTCTGTAGGGTTGGATTGGTGGCCATGAACTCCCACAGTTCCTCCTTGTCTTGAAAGTATCTTATTTCTTCATTAATTTTTAGAGAGAGTTTTGATGGATATATGAACTTTGGTTGCATATTTTTTTCTTTCAGGACTTGGAATATTTCTCCCCACTCCCTTCTTGACTTAAGAGTTTGTGTTGATAAGTCTGCTGTTATTTTGATAGATTTCCCGTTATAGGTAACCTGCATCTTTTCTCTGGCTGCTTTTAATATTCTGTTTTTTTGGTGGATTTCTGGGATCTCGATTATTATATGTCTAGGCGTAGATCTGTTTTGGTTGTAGGTAGCTGGTGTTCTGTATGCTTCTTTTATCTGGATATCATTTCTTTTTGCTATACATGGGAAATTTTGCTTTAATATCTCTGTGAATATTTTTTGTATTTCATTTTTGGATGTTCCTGCTTCCTCACTCACATTCTTTATTCTTAGGTTATGTATCTTTTTGTCATCTTCCAGTTTTAGAATTGCTTCTTTCTGGTTCCTTGTTATTTTTAAGAGGCTTTTTCTTTCACGTTCGTATGTCCTAAATCTCTCTTCAAGTTTCAGAAGGCTATCTTTAGTTTCTGTCAAGGCATTTTGCCAATGTTCAATGGAGTTTTTAGTTTCCTGATATTCTCTTTGGATCTGTTTCATGTATTCTAGGTTACGCTTAAATTCTTCTTCAGATGCTTCTCTTTCTTTTCTGATTTCCTCAGTTCTTCCATCTGTGTTCTCTTGGGCGGGGCTTGTCATTTCTTTAATTAATCTCTTTATATCTTGCCTCACTTGGATCAGGAGTACAGCTTTAAATTCCTCTATGAGATCATGTAGGTACTTTTTAATTTCAGCTGATGCTGTGTCGAGTAGTGGATGGTTACTGTGCTTGTTCTCTTCGGTGTTTACTTCTCCTGGGCTTATTTTCTCCTGTTGGGCAGCTGGAGATTTTTTTTTATTTTTATCTCTTGTCATGTTTCTGGTTTCTTTTAGACTGTCCTGGAGTTCTCTGGCCCTCTCCGAATTGCTTAGGCCCTTTCAGAAATGTGCTGGCTTGAGTTTTTGCTGTCCTCCCCAATTTACTGTTATCTGGGGTAGACTGGGATGCAGGGGCAGTACAGGCTAGTCTCTAGCCTCTGTGCCAGTTAGTTCCTAAATTAGGCTGTACTTTCTGGTTGTCACTGAGTTGTGACTATTTTGTATCCGCTCATTGGGCCCCAAGCAGAGGCTTGGGTTAGCCCCAGTATCTCCTGCCAGTTCTCTTTGTACCAGAAGCAGCTGACTAATGTCACTATGGCACAGGGTCCTGACCAAATCTCAGCTGTTCTCTTCCAGACCTCTCTGTGTCAGGAGCACCAGCACAGCAGAACTGCCCAAACTCTGTATGAGGCTGAAGCCAACACGTACTCAGGCTCTGCCCAATTCCAAGATGCCTTCCACTAGCCCTCCCTACAGGGGGCTCAGTGACGCCACTGAGCTGTAGGTTCTGCCCAACTGTAAAATGGCTGCCACCAGACTCTGTGTTATTGATGTCCCCGTGGTGGCGGGCACTGTCCCGTTCCAAGATGTTCTCTGGCCAACCCCGGCAGTCGCAGGGTCTCTAGTACTCACCAGGGTCCACGCCGCCCACCTTTCCCACGTTCCCAGCACAGCACTGATCGGTCAGAGATCCGCGCAGCGTGCACTCCCGGTACAGCACAGAATGGTCAGAAATCCGCGCAGCGCCTGGTACAGTGCAGAGTGGTCAGAAATCCGCGCTGCGTGCATTCCCGGTACAGGGTGGAACGGTCAGGAATCTGCGCTGCGTGCACTCCTGGCTCAGTGCGGAACCGTCGGAAACCTGCGCGGCGTGCACTCGCGGCCCGGCGCGGAGCAGTCAGAAATCCGCGCTGCGTGCACTCCCGGTACGGTGTGGAAGGGTCAGAAATCCGCGCTGCGTGCACTCCCGGTACGGTGTGGAAGGGTCAGAAACCCACGCGGCGTGCCCTCCCAGCACAGTGCGGAGCAGCGTTTGGCTTTGGAGCTCGAGAGTCTTTCACAATCTCCTCTGGTGTAGCTGGGCAGTCAAAAGCCAACACAGCTTTTCCTGTTGCGTCCATGGGTTAAACTGTTGATTTAAAGGCGCAGGATTTGCATCTTCCCGTTTTCAGCCTTCACAGTCTCAGCACGACTTTAAATCCTCCAGCTGCACTGTCTTGGTTAATAAGAATCGTTATCCATTTGTCTGGCCCTCTCCATGTTGTGATATTCTAGCTTTTAATATGATTTCTCCGGAGAGACTCTCCGCCCGATCCTCTAGTTAGCCGCCATTTTCTCCCCTCCAAGCAATGTGATATTAAGCTTGTGTGTCTGATTTCTTTTTTAAAAAACTAAATTTTATAACAAAATAATAGAATATTAAAAGTTAATATATGTGTATTGTTTTCTTCAAAGTAGTTATTCAGAGTACCAGATATAGGCATAACGAATTCTCCAAAATGATATTAGCACGGCAGTTTCTTTTCAGTGAACTATGAGAAACTAGTATAACTATCTTATATTTTTTTTTCTTTTCCCTACCTTCCCTTTCCCTCTGCCCCCATCATTCAAATCACTTCTTCTCATTTCACAACATGTATTGCACATTGTGGTCCTTATTTACTCTTTGTTTCTCACACCAGAAATACAATGTGATGTTTATACCAATGTGATGTTGATCTGATTTACTTCATTTACATGCAGGGTCTCAAGCTGCATACATTTACCAATAAAAGTCTCCAGTTTATCTTTCCTTATGACTGAATAGTGTTCAATTGTATAAAAACAGCACATCTTTTTAACTCATTCCTTGGCTGATAAGCATTTGCATTGTTTCCAAGATTTTGCTATTATAAATGTGTCCTTGTATACGTGGCTATACATATATCACTGTGGTATGATGTTTTCAATTCTTCTGGGATGTTACCCAGAAGGGAATTTGTTAGGTTGAATGGGAGCTCCAATTCAAGAGGGGTTTTTTGTGTTGTTTTTTTTTTTTGAGTAACCTCCACACTGATTTCCACAGTGGTTGCACCAGTCTACACCAAAGTGGAGAAGGGTTTCTTTTCCTCCAGAGCCCCTCCAGCATTTGTTATTGCTTGATTTCTTGATATTAGCCATTCTTTCAGGGGTGAGGTGTAATCTCAGTGTTGTTTCAATTTGCACCTCTCAAATAACCGGTGATGCTGCTGAATATTTCTTTCTTTCTTTTTTCTTTTTGTACTGGTGATAGAACTCACTACCTTGCTCTTGCCAGACAGGTGCTTACACTGCTGAGCTAAATCCCTGGCTGAACATTTTTTTATGTTTATTTGCCATTCGTATTTCTTGATCCAAGAAGTGTGTGTTCATCTCAAATGCTCATTTTTGGATTGGATCTTCAAATCTGGGAGGATTTTTTTTTTAGTTAGTTCTTTATAGGTTCTCAACAGTAATCTTTTATCTGAGGAACAGTTGGCAAACATTTTTTTCCCACGTTACAGGTTATCTCTTCACTGTGTTGGTGGTTTTCCTTGCTGTGCATATAAGCTTTTCAATAAGATGAGATCCCACTTGTTGATTGTGATAGTTCCTGTGCAATTCGGGTTTTGTTCATGAAGTCTCTGCCTATACAAATGTCTTCAAGAGTTTTACTACTTTGTCTTCCAGAAGATTTATTGTTTGTTTTAATATTAAGATCTTTGATCCATTCTGATTTAGACTTAGTATATGGTAAAAGATATGGTTCCAGGTTTTACTCTTTAGGAGGTGTAGAGCTAGTTTTTCTAGAACAATTTATTAAAGAGGCTTTCTTTCAGTGAATTTCTTTGGCACCTTTGTTAAAGACAAGGTGGCTTAGTGTATCTGGAGTTGTTTCTGCATATTCTATTCCAATTCCATTGATCTTCAGGTCTGTTTTTTGCCAGTACCATGCTGGTTTTATCACATTAGCTTTATAATATAATTTCAAGTCAGAGACTGTGATTCCTCCTGCCTTACCTTTGTTGCCAAGGATTGCCTTGCTACTCTAGTCTCTTCTAGTTCTAGATGAATTTTAGGATTGTTTTCTTTAATTCTGTGAGATATGCTACTGGAATTTTGATTGGGATTGCATTGAATCTGCATAATTGTTTTGGAAGTATGGCCATTTTCATTATATCAGTTCTTCCAACCCAAGACACTGGGATAGCTCTCCATTTTGAACATTCTTTTCATTCTGCTTTTCCAGAGTACTGTATTTTTCAATGTTGAGGTCTTTGATATCCTTTTAGATTCTTTTGAAGTCAACATTCTTCTTGTACACTTCCAACCCTGAATGACACTTTGAGGTTGAAAAGAGATGCTTCTGAATGAAGGAACACATTCCTGTCACTCAGCACTAATCTCCAGGACCTTCATGTGAGGCCCACCACACGCACTGCTGAGCGTACCTTTCTGTGGGGACCCCTCTCTCCCTCCTGTTTACTCACAATATTCAAAAGCTGCAGTGGCTGTTGGCTCCCTACCCAGCTGCACAGGCTGCCTCCAGCACTCCTTCCTGCACCACCCTGTGGAGCCTTGTCCTGCCTCTACCATTCAAGGGGCCGGTTTCCATTAACTCAGATCTCTGTGTCCTGTCTGCAGGATCTTACCGAGCCATATGGTCTGCTGCCTCTGCCAGTTTAAAAATGATATTGAGGTTGTCGGCAAGACAGTCACACTGCATTGTGACAGCACATGTGTGGTTAACGCGACTCAGTGTGGTGAGTCTATGCCTGATGATATTTTTACTTATATTTTGCTTTTTAATTTTAAATGGTGATGATAAGATTGTAAACTAATGATATAACTGTTTTACACGTATTCATTCATCAGAGTTAAGCCTGATAAAGTTTTGAAGTGGTCCCCTGCAGACAGGTTCTCAGTTAGTACCGCATGTTGCAATAACAAAACTGTTCCATATTCGAAGGACTCAGAGGAAGGGCTGGAAGGGGAGGGCACACCATGCTTGGCTGCACACCATGCACAGTGCTTGCTGTCTGGTGCTTTGCCTTCCAGTGAAAACTTAATTCATAAAGTGAAATGCATTTATAAGCTGATTTATATACTCAGGGGCTCAAGTTTCCTCAACCTTGGGGCAGGTGGAGATCACTTTTGTCTTGCTTTTGCAATTGTGTAAAACATTATTTTGTTTAAGGCCCAGGAGTTTCTAATTGCATAACCAGAAACTTCTTCCTGTCTCTTCTAAGGGAATGCAGGGTTCCTCCATGCCCAGACTGTCAAACACTGTGCTCTTCCTGGGTCTCACATGACTCAGGTGCATTTAAGGATTTTTCTGTATGTCGGGCTTATTAGCTCTTGTTTCATGCTTGCAACATGTGACAGCTTTCACATCCAGAGAGCTTGAATACAGATGCCTACCAGTGATCTGGGACAAATCATGAATAATGGCACTTTGCTCTTTCTGAAAAGGCAATGTTGCTTGGCTTTTAAAAATAATTTTTTACTTACAGTATTACTCCTTCCTTCCCTAAAAATACAAGCAAAGGAAGAATTTCTTAACTCTTGTTTATAGACAAAGAAAGCAAGATTAGAGATTTCATGTGCTAGAGCCTCATGCCAGCCCTCCGTCCCCAATTCTGAGTTCTCCAGAAGCCCAATGTTCCTCTGTGATCCTGATCTTAACACCTCCTCTGGCCCTCACCACCACCACAGTCACTTAATTCTTCTGCAAGAGAAAACAGGTTACAAGTCCATGACTTTCATATAATTAGTAGCTTCAGATGCTAAGAAATATTAGAACAGAAGTGAAAGTAGGGCAAGCATCTGATTGAAACAGTTTTTACTCCCTTGTACGCTAAGACCTTAAATCATGTTTGTCCAGAAGTTGCTGTTATTCTGAAAATGTATTGTGCATTACTCCACACAGGCATACAACCAAGCAAATTAAAAGTCTCTGAACCTACACCCCAGGTCCCTGCCCCAATTTAAAGAAAGAACCAGAGCAGGACAGTATTTGGTTCTGGTAGAGTCTTTCGTTATGGAGCTAGGACATATGAGAGCAGGGCCAAGTGAAGTTATGTGATGAACAGGTGGAGAGAACATACCCAGGGGAGGACCTGGAAGCAGAAGGAGTGGGGCCTCTGCCTTGGCACTTTGGCTCACTGTCACAGGAGGACTGTCCTTCCTTGTGGTCATCTGTGACAGTAGCAAGAACACGACACACCGAAGAGGTGGAGCAAGGAATTCTTGCGCTCCCTCTGCACCTGCGGTGTGATGTTATGGTATACAGAATCTGAGCGGGCATAGAAGGGCTGCAGAGAGGGTTGCTGAGTGGGGAAGTATTGGCCAGCATTTGGCCTTTTATTAAGTATCGATTATTTGGCTGTCCTAAGTTAAGTTGCTGTACCCTACACTATGGAATGTTCTGAGTAGGTAGTCATGGTAGCAAAAGAGTTCTTTTTCTCTTGCTTTTTAAAAAAATTTTATTTTAAAACAAACAAAAGACTAAAAACAATGGTACAGTTTCAAATCAATGTAACTGGAGAGTAAGAATGGCTACTATATTCTGAATTGTTATCTTCAAAGTAGATACTCAGATTACAAGATAAAGGTATGAAAAATGATCAAACAATGAAAGTGCAAACTGTCATTTTGAGGAACAGAGATTAGTAGTATAACTAATATATATATATTCCCTTCTTTATTCTCCTTGCCCCATATCAGTTGTCCTTTCCTTTTGAGCAGTTTCATCCTCTTTCACTTTCACAGTATCTCGCATACATTTTGGGTCTTATTAAGTCTTTCAGCTTTTTACACTGAGGAGACAATGCAGAGTTTATACACATGTGAGCCTGATTTGTTTCACTATAGCCTCTAGTTGCATTCATTTACCTATAAAAGGCTCACGATTGTCTTTCTTCATAGCTGGGTAGTATTCCATTGTAAAAAAAAAAAATACCCCATATGTTTTATCCATTCAGTGGTTGATGGGCATTTGGGTTGTTTCCAAAATTTAGCTATTACAAATTGAGCTGCTATAAACATGGGCACATGTATATTGCTGTGGTATGATGTCTTCAGTTCTTCTGGGAAAATACTCAGAAGGAGAATAGCTGGATCGAGTGGGACCTCCAAACCTAGGTTTTTGAGGAATTTCCACACTGACTTCAGCAGGAGTTGAACCAATCCTGCACTCCTACAAGCAGTGGAGAAGTGTTCCTTTTTCCCCACAACCCTTCCAGCATTTGTCATTGGTTGACCTCTGTATATTCAGAGCCATTCTTTCTGGAGGGAGATGGAATCTCAGTGTTATTTTAATTTGCATTTCTTGAATGACCAGTGATGTTGGACATTTCTGTATATATTTATTTACCATTTGCTCTTCTTCATCTGAGAAGTGTGCATTCATCTTAGATGCCCATTTTTTGGATTGGGTATAAGTTCTAGATAGAAGTCGTTTCTCTGAGTTGGTTAAAATCACTCTTGTTTTCTCATCAGATCTCATAAATCTTTCATTGTTTTTTCGCTTTCCTGTTACATGTTTCATAGTTTTAAGTTTGCGCTTCTTTTTTGTCTCTTCCAAATGGTACTGAAATACTTACTGACTGCTAACTTTGATTGGCATGATTAGCTGTGGACTGACAAAAAGCTGGCTATTCAGTCTCCCTTGATTGAGAGCAGTCTCTTTTTTTCTGACAGTGGGACAAGCCCTCATAGGGAACCTTGAAGAAGCCTTGATGAAGGTGTTACAAGCCCGGAAGATGAGCACCAACACTATGCTGACTATCAAGCCAGAAGAGGCATCTTCAAAAAAGAGTGGTTTGCACTTGTCAGGCCTTGTGAAAAAGCAGCTAGACACTAATGATGAAAGTGATATTACTAAAACAGCTAGTTTCACACTGCCATACTTCCTAGAGGGAAATCTAGAAGACATAGAGAAAACAATATTACCATTCATTCCTCTCCTTTTTTCAAATACACAAAATGGAGATAATTCCTTGGCTTATTTGGAAAACAATACGAGAGACTCCTCTGCTCAACTTGCACTGGCAATTTGAGTCTCAAAGATAAACTGAAGATGTTATATTTTCTCCAAAAGTTGTTAAGTGCAAAAATTCAGGAAATATTAGATGACACAAAAAAGAAAGAGAAAACTGCCACACTTATGCCACGTAGGAATTTAGATCCCCAATTCAGACTCCAGTCTTTGCAAACAAACTGGAAAGTCTTGAAACACAGGAAAACAGCCTGGCAGAGGTTGAGGGTGAAAGGAAAATGTTTCCAAGCTTGAAGACCCTTCTCAAGGAGCTGAAGCATCCACAACAAAGTGTTTTCAAGGAAGAAATGAAACAGAAAGCTGGGGTTAAGTGGGCTACCCAGCCATTCTTAGAAGATGTCACCAAAGAGGGAAGCCTAAGGAGATTCATCCCACAGGAGGTGGGGCAGCATCAGAGGATGCCAAGATCCAGGAAGTTCTTGGAAAACTCTTTCCGCATAGAGCCCTCCTTCAGAGACGAACAGAAAGTAACAGCTTCTTCTTTCCTAAAACATCACTCCATGAACAGATCTCCTTCTTCCATCCCTGCCAAAGCCCTGCCCAAGGTGAGAAAGACAGCAAATGATTTCAACTACATTTTGGATTTACAAAATGCAAATGCTAGAGTTAAAACCACAGAGGGTACAAAACCAGTCTTACATCCTGGAAACCCTCACCACTTTCACAAAACTCACTCTCTCATGGCCCGGGGAACACCCGAGGTCAAGCTGAGTGACAAGTTGAGAAAGGAAAACACACGCAGTAGACTACTGCTTGTAAAGAGGCCTCAATTCTCAGCAGTGAGGACTCTCACCAGTTTCCCATCAGGACGGTTCTTCTCATCTTCAGGAGAGCCCAGTTTTCAGGAAACTCCTGTTTCAGAATTGTATGCTCCTTCAGAACTTTCTGTAGAAAGCACTCCTCTAGCAAACCATACTGCAGCAGATACTTTCAAAGGAGCAGATTTTGCGTTAAGCATTAGTGTGCCAGAAGAAACTATCTCCAAAGACACAACTCACAAGAATCATTCTGCTGCATACTCTGCCGTGACTGCATTCAACCTAATACCAGCTGTGAACCACACAACAAAGGCACATTGGGAACACCCCAACATGGGCACTGACTCACCGCTCAAAGACTTCACCTCCCTGTCGCTGTCATCCTCACGTGATCAGTTTGAGATTTACATAAATCAGCAACTCTGGCCCCTCATCCCCAACAATGACATCAGAAGGCTGATTTCTCGTGTTATCAGGAGTTTAAAGATGGACTGCTCTGAGACCCAAGTGCAGTTGGCCTGTGCCAAGCTCATCTCCAAGACAGGCCTCCTGTTGAAGCTGTTCAGTGAGCAGCAAAAAGCCAAGGTGTCCAAGGCCCAGTGGGATGTGGAGCACTGGAAAAATGAGAATTACATCATTGAGAGCACAGAAGACCAGAATGAAGAGAAGGAGCAGCAGTCAAGGGAGGTGAGGACAGCTGCCCAACATGAGGGTCTGCTGTGAAGCACAAAAGGGCCCCCATGTCTGTACTTTGTCCTGGCCACGTAACTGTGGTCAGGATGGTGATCTCCACCCTGCTCCTTGAGAGAAGGAAGATGATCTGGCATACAAAATAAACTAGAAAGGAACATGCATAATACTATTTGTAACATGGTCCACCGCATGTTTTTATCACCTTGCAAACTACTCCCCTGTAAGAATTTGATTTGAATAGTCAGCTTTCATCTGTCCCATCTTTGTTACTTAACAAAAATTTCTCTCTCTCCTTCCTCTTTTTCCTCCCTCCCTGTCTCATCTATCTGTCTCTCAGCTCACAGTAGAAGTTCCAGGATTCGACTATAAGAACAAACTGATCTTGACCAGTATCTGTGATGGGAATAGGGATCATTTTGTTGATAATTTTCTGTCTCATTGAGGTAAGCATCACAATTACTTCAGGCTTCCTGGAAGGACTCTTTCCTATTGAGCAAACTCTCTTCCTGTATTAATACTGAACTACCTGACTTTATTCCAGCTATTATATAATTTGAGTTCTGAATCTGGTAATATTACTGGGTTTTGAGGTACTGGGGACCCCATTTAGAGATTTTTTCTAGGTTCCTTCTGTCCTGTGAAAGAATTGGTCAAGACAGGAACAAATGTCATGACCTTTAAATTTATTAAAGGTAGGAACAGAAACATGCTCTGCAGAGTACAGGTTAGTTAAAAGTAGGAAAAGAAGTACATTCCACAAGGTGAGAACAGACTGCAACTGAAAGAGACACAGTGGCCATGAGGAAAACAGCTGCTCTCCAACCTTGACTGTCTTATCAAAAAAATGCTTGATTTCTCTGGGGTTTGAAAAATGTTCTGTACTTGTGTCCCAGAACTCTATGGTTGACAGGAAATACCCACTTCCTTCCCCAGTCAGTTTGCTGTGCCTTAGTCCTCTCCTTAATTTTTTAAAAAATAGGATAAAACAATAAAACCAATTAAAACAAACCAGTGTGAGAGATACAGGACTTTAAAACAATACAAAATCAACAATAGTTACCATGCCTTTTGATATCTTCAAAATAGCTGCAGATAACCTCAAACATAGTAAAAATCAAACAGAACAGAACAGAATAGAAACAATAAAAACAAAACAATGAATGCAGTAAAGGACTTCAAAACAAGCCAAGAATAAACTCAAAATGGCTACCATAACGTATTTTGCTATCCTTGATATAGCTGCTCCTGCCATCAGATTTAACATAAACAAAAGAGACTAAAACCCAACACAACAAAACAATGGGAATGACATAGGACTTCCAAAACAAGACTACAGGGAGTCAACAATGGCTGCAACCCTCAGAAGGAGGGTTGGGGATGCTACACAATGTACTGCTATCCTGTGAACCTGTGATCAGACCACCGGCCACTGGCCCTTACACCTGCAATGTTAGTGAAATGGACCAAAGCATCACAGGCATCCAACTGCATTTCACCTCCACCGTTATCATCACAGCCTGTGTTTCTCTGGGTAACCTGCTGCTTACGCAGTAGAAGAAGTACTTCTTGATTGCCAGCCTGCACACCAGAATTGACTAGGGTACATCTGTTGCAGCCCAGTCGCAGACTGGGCTTGCTCGCTGGTATGGCCTTGTTCTCTCTCCCCCTAGTCCATGAATGGTACTAGCTGATGGAGAGAGGCTTGGCTGTGGCCATTCCTAGTCTGGTGACAGTCCACATATGGCACTGTTTCCCAGACTAGGCTTACTCCCTGGTGTGGCCTTGTTCTCTCCCTCAAGTCCACAAATGGGGAGAGGCTTGGGTTTGACTATTTCCAGTCTGGCGGCAGCCCGCACATGGCACTGGTTCCTAGATTGGACCTGTCTGCTCAATTCCTACAATTTTTATGGATGCTTTGGAATTTGATTTATACAATTTTGGAAAAAGATGAACATTTGTGAGGCAAGGATGGCAATGGTTGTGTTTGTCACCTGACGCAGTTTGCAAACAAAAAGAAATTTTGCCAAATGCTTCTTTGTAGAAACCAAATTGTTAGGGCCCCAAAGCATTTGTGAGCTAAGGTCCTGCTGTATTATTCATCTGCACAGCTCATAGCCTCTTTTTTTATCTGGAGTACAGTTAAGTGGCCAAGTTGAGCTGGATGTCTCACCATGACAGATCAAAGTTCAGGCTGCACTTGAGCTTGGGATAATCCTGGTTCAGTCTCCTCCAGCCCTAGGGTCAAAGGCACGTGCCACTATGCTTGGCTTTGTTCTTCACGTTAAAACAATGCTGTTTACAGTCGTGAGTTCGATCCCCGGTACCGATAAAAAAGAAAAATACAAAAAAAAATGCTGTTTAGATTTCTATTAGATTTTTTTTTATCAAATTAAGAATGTTTTCTTCTTTTAAGAATTTTTATTAGGAATTACTAGTTGAATTTTACCTAAAATAGCCAAAAAGGTGTATTAAGTGCCTGAGACTGTTGGCATATGCCTGAAATCTCCCATCATTCTGGGAGGCTGAGACAAAGGCAATGGGCCATTTGCAAAGATGTCTCAAAAATACATATAAACAATATATATTATAATAATATATAATAAGTATAATAAATATTTAATATATATTACTTTGAGGAATTCTCAGAACACCCACACACACGTACACATACACACACACACACACACACACACACACACACACACACACACAATTGGAAACAGTTCAGTCCAAAGGCCCTGGGTTCAATTCAAGTGCTGGACAAAAAACAGATTGTGCCAGCTGCACAAGCACTTGAAGTAGGTGCTTTGGGAAAGTCAATGAACTATGATTAACAGGGCTGAATTCTAGTTTTCAGAAATGTTACCATGTCACTCAGATAAAATTTTGTTTTGCTTTGTATTTTGAGACAGGGTCTCACTATGTAGTTGAGGCTGGCTTTGAATTCACCTTGTCTCTAGTTCATGTTGATCCTCCTGCCTCAGCCTCCAGCATGCTACCATCCCCGACTAAATAAGATTTAGATAAAGAAAAGGAACAAGTGAAGAATGGGAGGTAGTGGTCTTGGTGTTGGATACTCATGACTGTTTACCCCCACAACAGATTTATTCCCAAAAACGGGCTTCAGAGGAAAATGAAGAAGAGTCCTCAAGGTAAATATGATTTTTAAAGGAAAACTTCAAAACCAGAACTAAAACCACAACTAAGACCAGGACCAAAATTAGAATCAGAACTAGAACTAGAACTAGGGCTAGAGGAGGACTTAGAACTCATCTATGCTTAAATACCCCAATGTCACAGTGCACAGCCCACCTGCAGCACAATAACCCTTCCTTCCCCTGATGCCTCCCCTCACTGCAAAGAGGCTGAGGTGGGCGGGACAAGCAGGGAGGCATCTGCTGTCACCAGGCATCCAGTACCGAGGGTAGAGGTGGCAGGTTTGGGTACGCCTGCTCCTGTGGTGGAGAAGCCTTGTGGGGCGGCACAGGAAGCCCAGGTGCTAGGCTGAGGCTGGTGGAAGATGGAATCCTTCCATCCATCCGTGGACGGGTAGAAGCTCATCCTCTCAGGCTTCCGGTTCCCTTGTGAGCCTCCTGAGTTCCTTTACACAAACCGCACAGCCTTCTCCTTGGGAGAGACCTACATAATGGTAGTTTGCCTCATTTTTTTGCAATGAAGAACTGGAGAGAAAGGACAGGAGACTGCCTTGCCCTGTGGTCACACTGCTAGTGAGTGTCAGAAAGTGGGTGGCGCCTTGCCAGCAGCTGGCACTGCTCCTCTGATTATGCTGCGCTTGGGCGGAGCCATGCTTTATGAGGAGTCAGTGTATGTAGACACCATCGACTGCAGTAGTCTCTGTCTGAAACAGTGCATTTTGATGTCTTTCTGTTCTGTTTGTATTGCACAAAGGCACTCTCCTCTTTCACTCTTGATGGTACTGGAGATTGAATTCAGGGCCTTTTGCTCTGAGTTGCATCTTCAGTTTCTTCTTCTGTGATGATTTTATGTATTTGTCTTGCCAGGTTGCTGAGGCTGGGCTTTAACTTGCCACCCTCCTGCCTCAGCCTCTCAGAATACTGGGATTACACGTGTATACCACCACATATGGCTCAAAAAGGACACACTGTTTTTTAGTATTAATTATCCTTTAAAGTGATTTCACAATTCACTCATCAGAGACAGTCCTTGGTATGAAAATCTCTGAACTGTATATCTTTACAGGTTGTACTTGAGTTTTTGCTTGATGAGTAGGGTGAACCAGCTAGGAAAATAGAAACACCTGTTTATTCCACAGGGAGGGCTGCATGTGGAGCTAAGTATGATGGGGGACTGCTGTGAAAGACTGGAAAGAGTGAAGTGTTTCCCCATAGTATAGTTATGCAGTTTGTTCACTGCAAGAGCATCACCAACTGATGGTGAAAATGGGGTGATAATCTTGCCAGGTGCAGAGGTCTCTCTCAGAGACCTTGTGAGGCCCTTGATAACAGATGGAGGTTCCAAAAGCACAGCATCGTGCAACTGTTTTCAGGACGCCAGGTCTAGGTTGAAATTGCTTATTGTGGTTTTGAACTAAGGTATGTGTTTTGTCCTATGGAGACCTGAAGTGTGCAGTCTGAGATGAGAACAATAATGCGAATCACTCACTGTCTTGCACGTGTTTTCCCACAGGGACCTTTCCCAACGTTGGCATGGGAGATGCAAAATGGAACAGGAAAAGGAGGTAAATTTGAGAAGGACTCAGTGCTGTGGTGGTGGTGGAGGGGAGGCAGAGCTCCTAAGTCCCCTTCTGTTTTCCAGAAGGCCGTGAGTGGGGTTGTTTGCCCACTGTGGCTTAAGGATATGTACAGACCTATCAGTGCCTCACACATGAAACAAGTGTCGGCCAAGTTGCATGGGAAGGATTCCTTTGATGAGGGTGAGATTTTCACAAAGCATGCAGGGTAAGTGACTGGGGATGACTTAAAATTGCAATCTAAAATGAAGAATAAAGAAAGCCTCACTGCCTTGGCCTTGTTCTCCAGGGAGCTCCATGGAGTCACCACAGAGGCAGCGCCCACAGTGCCGGCCATCAAGAATGAGGAAAGTGGGCTCAAGAAGGTGCCCTTGGAGTGACCCTGAATTGCTTCCAGTGACTGGCAAATCTTTTTTTCACATTGTTTTGCATTGTTACATTACAATCTATAATATTCATAAGCACTTCTAGCCATGCAGTAAGAAAATAAGTCCTGATAGTCAAATTGATGTGTGCATGTAACACACGGCATAGTGGGACTGCTGCTCAGATCCTTTGTTGTGGTCCTGCTTCTGAGGGAGCCAGTGTGGCCTTCTTGTCCTTGGCAGCCAGGATAACCAGTTTCTGTAACCAAACGCGCTTGTGGGTTTGGCATTTATAGACTCCTAACACTTAGCCCAATAATCCATGGAAGCATAGTTTTTGTCTTATTTGTCTTATCATCATTGCACAGGAAATGGAGCTCAAAGAATATAAGTAATCTGGCCAAATACACAAAGCCGCATATCTAAAGCCTCAAATTAGAGCTTTAATTAAGGATCCTAAGACTCTAAAGGATTTTAACCAAGACACTGCCCCACTATAGAGTATAGAAACATGGGGACATACAGACCTTGCTGCCTGCTGTCACATGGCTTAGTGTTCTTGAGATGGGCCATCATAATTTGGGGGACATGTGAACCTCCAAGTCCCCAGGTGTAGGAAGTGGCTGAAGTTGGAGATGGATCACATGTGTGGGGCTAATGCAAGGCCAGGCCTGTGAACATAGAGAGCCCAAAGTGAGCCACATAAACAAGCTGTTCCAGCTCTGGAAGGCAAGGTGCCCAGTCAATTAAACTGCTATGCAGAGGGGTTGAAATTGACATCAATTCCCTGAGTGCCTAAATAAATGGGCTAAGGTGGTTGAGCAGTTCCTTTCCTCCGATCCGGAGAGAGGGCCCCACCTGATCCCAGCTTTGTGTGTCTTGCCCTTGTTTCTTCACCTTTTCACCGCCCTTCATGGTCCTCACCCCAGGAAGTTTGAGAGCTGCATGAGTCATGGCACCTAAGATTACTGATGTTCAGCACAGAACCCGGGAGTCTGAGGCACATCCCTCTGCCTCAGCTACTGTGAGACACTTTGGCTTCCTGTGCTCATGGAATCAGGATGGCTATGACTTAATGACCCAGCACCTACAAAAAGAGGAGGCTCAGTTCTCCCTAGGTCCCACTCACTTTTATGCTTCATGATATGTGACATGCCTCTTAACATGCATCGTGTCCCCTGTGTTAAGCAAAGACTCGGCTGTGAGTGTCTTCAGACAGTAAGAGAGGACAAGGAGCCAACTCTGTGGGCACAAGAAGACATACATAACCCTGCAGAAAAGGCTGAGATTGAGACAGAAGGATGAGCTCAGCAGGGTGGTGGGTGTTCAGTGAGCAGGGTGGTGTAGGAGTCAGGCACAGGCTGGGAAAGGATGGGATGAAAATGACTCCTGGGCCTCCTTCCTGGACATTTGGAGCCAGGAAAACATACACCTGTTTTAACTGCTCTTTATACCATGTGACCACTTTGAGCCTCCCCTGGGCACACTGCGATGCGTAACTGCAAGTCAGCTCACAACATGTGAAGCCTTGGGGTATACTTTTCCTCTTCTGGTCCTGTAGATTTTTTTTCTTTCCATGGTAAGCTAATATCAGATACAGTGATCCAGCCAGTGAAGGGCAGGTGTCAGGAGCAGTCTGCAGCAACTGTGCTTTGGGTACTTTAGATTTGGAGACTTTGGTCAAGTGGGAGCCCAGGGTCTGAATTCAGACCACAGTATTGGGCTGGGGAGGTCCAGGCAGGTCCTAAGAGTGCATGTGAGGGCTGGGGAACAGGCCAATTCTTGGCAGAAACCTGCACTGAGCTTGGCTCGGGGTCTTCAGCTCCTTTGTCTCTGGGCAAGAAAGGTGTCCCTATGTCTTCAACAGTGGAAACCCATGGCTGCTTCTATTTGTACAACTTATCTGTTGAGTGTATGGTCTTGTTCCACAAACTGCCAGGCTACTTTTACTAAAAAGAGTGACTTCAAATGGGCCTGCAAATGTCCTATGAGTGACTGAGCAGGATTACAAACTTTGACATTTCTGCCTTTGAGTCATCTTCCCTGGCGGTCCCCTTGGATTCTCTGAGCCATCCATAAATGTCTTGTGAGGTGTTAAAAACCCCATAGGCAACTTCCTGTCTTCCTTTGTTTCTTGCTTTGCTTGCTTGCTTTGGTCTCACTATGCAGTTCAATCTGTAGCTCAGGCTGACTTCAAACTCCTGGTGATCCTTCTGCTCAACCTCCCAAGTGCTGGGATTACAGGTGCGCACAGCCACACACGGCAACAGTATCTTCCTATCACTCCTTCTGAGAGGGCACCCTGAGCAGTCCTGAGGGGATGATCAGCCAGACAACCTTTGCCCAAGACTGCTTGTCAACTCACACTTCTCGTTCCCTTGTCTCTGTATTCTGGGTGCTCATGTCAGCCCTCAAAGACAGGCTGCAAACACTGGTCCACTTATCTACCCACCGCAGCTAGACACTGGAAACTGATTAAAGTATCTTTGCTGCCTTTCACCTTTACTTTGTTGTTGCATTTCTTTAGCATGAGTGGCCAGCCCTGCTTCATTGGAATCCCAGACTCAGGGCACCGATCTATGTCTCTGGTAACAGCTCCCCTTCTTTTTGGAGGCTGTCCTGTCTGTAATTCTCTCTACAAGAGTGACAACCTCAATCCTTGGGTTTAGGCAGAGGATTCAGTGTGTACAGTAAGCTTATGGTTCAGCAGGAAATGTATAAGAACATACGTGAAACAGTTTTGCCCTAGGATAAATTACAGTTATGGCGGTGGTCTAACGTGGCGGAGGCCCAGAGCAGCAATGCCTACCACTTCCTGCTTCTTCTTCAGCCCTAACTGCAACTCGTCTTTCTGTTTGTGCACACAGAATTCCAATCAGTTGCTCACATGTCATCAATATCCGCCCCATGCACTACTTAAATCAGAGGTCACATATCTCTCTGTATCTGGTCAAAGGAGACAGCCCAGCTGCCATGAGTTGTGTGCTCCTTTCCACGTGCTCACCTTATCAAAACTGTTGATTTTTTACTTTTGCTTCTCTGTTGCACCAGAATACTCAAACAATATGGACAACTTTTGATGTTAGACTTAATTACACATGGTGGAAGTGAGGAATTCTGTAGGAAACTCTAGCTAGTTTGGGAAAAGGATAACATTTCCAGTCAGCTGGAATGACCAGAAGATTGCATGTGGCTTGGCACAAATGTTTCATGTCACCAACTCCAGGACTTAGTATCCTTTGATTATTCCACTGAATTGTTGATTGCAGGGAATTCTGGGGCTGTGGAGGACCCTGAAAAACCATCTCTTGTGTGTTTTTCAGGAGTCCCTGCCTCTAAATGTCTTACTTTCTAGGCTCCTGAGCTCTCAAATCTGTGGGCTTCTCTGTCTTACGTTGCTCTCCACAATTGTAAGGCTGCCTAAAGGCGTGGGTCCTAGGGTGAGCCGGTGTAGCATAGAAGGGCATGAACAACTGCTTGGGCATGCAGCACATTTCCACAAACACTTTCTCACCGGGTAAACTACCAATGGGAAACAAACGTGACTTGGACAATGATAAAAGCCCCTCAAAGTGCTATGGAGCCAGGAGAAGAACTTGAGAGGTTTCAGGTTCACAGCACCTGTGAACATGTGCAACACTGCTGAGTTTGGGGTCGTTAAAGGTTGGCTCAGTCCAGCTTCCCTCTCTGATCCTCCAGCCCTCATACCCTCCTCTCCTGCTACAGCCCATCTTCTGGGAATTAAGCGCCTCCCTCTGGTTTTACTTTGGGATGAGACTCCTTCACACCCTGAGATGCCCCTGGGCTTGAGTTCCTGGTCTCATTCTTCCACCCGGAGTGCACATGACCACTGCTGGCCAGTCAGAGCTAATCAGAGCCTGTGACAGAGGCCTTGCTCAAACCTGTTTTCTTCACTGCTGTGTCTGGTGAGAATTACTGCTGCCTATCTTGCAGCCTCGGGACCTGGTCCTGCTACCATGGCATCCAGCATGGAGGACAATGCAGGAGAGGGGCACACAGGCCAAGGAGATGGATGTGGCCAGTCCTGAGCCTGTAGGACTGTTTACTGTTGAAGTGTGATTTTTATTTTTTTTTTTTGTCTTTTTCATTTTTATCGGTACCAGGGATTGAACTCACGACTGCCTGCTTGTAAGGCAGGCGCTTATGCCGCTGAGCTAAATCCCCAGCCCCCTGAAGTGTGATTTTTAGATGGGAGACAGTCCTAACAAATCAAAGTTTGAACTTGAACAAGTCATCTGTATTTCAGCCTGTTTCCTCATCTATTACTTGGAAGATTTAAATGAGATAACACACACACACTGAATGTAAATTTGCTATTAGTGATATGGTAATTATACAGTGGTGTCTCAGCTCATTAGCTTGATTCCTTGTATGAGTCTGGTTGCAAATCAAGTTGGATGAAAAAAGATCTGGTGTTTAGGGTCAATGTTGACTTACGGGAGATTTGATTTGGTTCTCATCTAATTCTGTTTCTATAATGGCTGATACATTGTGCCACCTTAGAAGTTTAAAAGCTTAACTACCTAACTCAGCAGTTCTACATCCTGCGGTATAGAGGATATGCCCTAGGGTGGCTGTTCCCCATCCATGCTATTGTAATAGTTGTTTCATTGTATCAGCTTAAGAATTTTAAAAGTTTAAGTGGCTCTGCAGCAGCCAGGGTCTTCACTTTGAAAACATCTTGAGGCTGTGTAAGAGGAGGCCATGGATATAGTGAGTGCTACAGCTGCCCCATGGTGGGTAGCCTGCTCACAACACAAGGGAGAAAAAGAGGCTTGTTCCCATTTATGTTGCTTGCTGTCTTCTGCCAACTTCTGCCCCTTTGCCAAGTCCCCCTGATTGGGAGCCAGCTGATTCTGGACTAAAACCTCTACAAACTGTGAGCTAAATGAACCTTTCTGCACTAAATTTTGGGGCATCAGGTATTTTGTTTCAGCAATGAGACAAAAGTCACTAAGTGCGACTGGAATTGTGGAGGGAATTGAGTTCATGAA